GCGATCTCTTTTGGGTCCAAGAAGCTTGGTTGATTGGTGGATGACAATAGCCTAGCCCACATTCTGTCAGTGATTACAACTTTGTTCTGTCTTTCAGTAATCCTCTGAACAATACCATTGAACAATTAGCGAGAACTCCAGTTCAGATAATAAAGCATTTGTAAAGATGAAACTACCATAATAAATGTTAAAACAATAGCAATAAAATGACTGATAAAAATTAAGTGTCCATTAACAATCCTGATAAAATGTTTCTCTTAAGAGAGACAAAAGCATCAAGAAAGCAAGGCATAAGTACTCACATAGAATGGTATGTATGCATGTCTCCCATTGACAGGACCAACGGTGAAACCTGTATATCCCGCCATTGCACCATGAATGGCACTATGAGCGAGGAGTGTGCAGTACACATTATCTGATGCATTACTTGGAATAGCACGGATCATGTAAGTAGGATCTGCAAGAAAGCAATCAGTATTTGGTTAAATCTTGTTTCCAAGCGAAGGCTAAACACTTCAGAGCGAGAAAAATGTACAAGCATGGTTTCTTTTAACTAACCTATATATTTGAGATTTATAGCCATCTTTTGCTGCTTAGCAAAGTGGTCCTGCAACATTGAAGGTCCCAGTGTTAAAAGATAAAGATGCAATACTTGAAAAGTTAAAAATGATAAGAAATGAGCAATTAGAGATCCATGCATTAAGGTTCCATTGTTTAGAAAAGACAAAAGGGGAAATGGCTTAATAATGTCAGCTGCAAAGCAAGCTATCAACTAATCCAGACTACTGTGACCCATCAAGTAACTCTCAGAAATGACCTCCAGAGTCCTTAGGCAGCTGGAGATGTTTGATAAGGAAGCCAATGAGAAAAAGTTATATTGAGAAGCGTATTACAAAGTCAAGTATCTATGTTTGAAAAATGAACCCCTTCCCCCAATTGAGATCTCAAGTTGAAACTTGCACAAAAAAGAGAGAACAGAGGAGCCCTCAGAAATGGCATGAAATCAAGTTTTAACAACACCAATCTGTTTTAACATTTTAACCTTTATCTTCTGAGATATCCATAAACCAACATCTTTAAGTAGCCTGTTCCCTGAGGCATCCTGCTTCTCCATACGAATGCTTTCAGAAAGTAGCTCTTGTCCAGCACCTTCAGCTATAACAATAACCATGTGTCCGTTCTCCTTTAGTCTCTTTTCTATATATTCAAAAAGTCCACCTGGTCCTTCAAGATAAAATGGTGATTCAGGAATCAAGCAGCAGTCCACATCTCTGCTTGCAAGAGTTGCATACATTGCTATAAAACCTGTGATTTAAACAATCTCAGACATTAAAATGAAACTAGTTTCAAGATATAAATACAAAGAATGATTGTAAAACAAGCAACATTCATCTGATACTATTGGAAGAGTAATAGAACATGGGTTTAATTAAAATGAGAAAAGGTGCCAAAATATAACAACACAGGTTTGTTCTTTGAAAGATATTCAAAAGATACAGCAATCTTATAGTAGGTTATGTGCTTCATTTTTTGTTTAGCTATATGTTGTCTGCATTTGGAAGAGATACCCTTATATATACTTTTCAAATATTTTTACCGTACGCATTTATGATATGATAAATTAAATACTTCTTAATTTGGCAGTTCACATAACTTAGAATTCTCAAATATCATGGATGAGTAAGTGACACTGGAAAAGTAAATAGGATACATTTATCCTAAAGTTTAAATTCTTTAGGTTAGGAGGTAGTAACAATGAGTGGTGATTATAACAGAATGAGGGCAATCTTCAGCATTCTTTTCATCATTCACCAAAAGACAACTCTAGGGTATCTAATGACAGGCAATTTTAGAGGATGCCAAGGCTGCAACACCAGCTTGAATATCAATCCCATTCAAATCATCTACTTGAAATTTCAATAGAATTATGATACTTACCACTGTAGCGTCCCATTAACTTGACCACACCAATACCATTCTCAATGCTTTCTGATTCAACATGGGCTGCATTAATAGCTCGTTGAGCCTCCTCAACAACAGTATCAAAGCCAAAGGATTTATCTATAACCTGTTAAAGAGGATAATATTATGCAATTTCAGTAAACCTTTCAGGATTAAGTCATAGGTTCGCACACAGAATGCAGGGTGAATAAGATGGAATCAGTAATGTCATGGCCATAAGAACTACCGGAATGTCATTGTCAATTGTCTTTGGTATCCCAGCTACTGCAACTTTAAGGCCACGTTTTCTAATCTCCTGCATAGAAGGTAATCGTTGAAATGAAAAATAAATATACAGGATCACCAATATCCATTCAGAAACAGATGCACTTAATGCAACATTTTCAGATCTTCAAGAGAAATTACTCTTAGATTACCTCAAATATCACAGCAGCCCCTCTTTGAGTTCCATCTCCTCCTATTATATATACCTAACATACATGGATTTTAATCTTAAAATTTATGCATGTTTAATTGCCAAAGAAGAGGTAAAGCTTTATTCATTTTTTATATAAAAGTGACAGAAAATATACACCTGACTAATGCCTCGATCTTGAATGCTGTCAACTATCTTGGTGGTATCATGACCTCCCAATGATGTCCCAAGGATGGTGCCACCACGTTTATGGATATCATTTACAACCTTCGGTGTCAGTGAAATTGTATTGCGAGCATAAAAGCCTTTGTATCCTCCCTAGGGAAATAAATTAGACTCTGTAGTTAATTAGACCAGCCAAAGATGTTAACTTCTGTAATAAATATCAAAATTTGATTGTACAAACATGATACAGGCATGCTGAAGTTGAAGGAAGAAGAAATCAGAGTCAAATAAAAAGCAATGTTCCCCATATGCTTACCTCTATCCCAAGAACTCTAGTAACACCATACATGTAATATAATCCACACACTATTTCCCGAATCACAGTGTTTAGACCAGGGCATAGACCACCACATGTCACAATACATGCATGCACCTCATCTGATTCAAAGTAAACCTGAAAACATGTAATAATTAATGTCATTATTTTCTTTTGATGGACAGGAAAATGAAATTTTAGTAAAAATGAGAAGAAATCAGACCTTTTGACGTGGTCCAGCACGTCTAAAATGGGTTCCTCTTGGACTATCTTTCTGGACAACAATCTACACACACATACACACCAAAAAGGAAAAAAAGGGGAATCAGAACTGCAAGTAATTGAAGAATTCAGCAATCATACATAAAAACCCATGTAGCTACCAATTCTGTTTATAGACTAATAGAACCCACAAGGGTGTTTAACATTAACCACCATAATGAAAACCAAATGGCTGGTACTATTGTATCAGTAAGTCTATTCCCACGTTTGGAAGCATAATAAGGGGAAAGAATGAACAAGATTTTACCTTTTGTGCAACAGTATCGTCAACATTCACGAAGTACTGCCTATGAAACAGAACATGAATTCCAGGAATCATCAATTCCATACCAAGCATTTTACAATCAAATGAATCAGCAGTCAGTAATCAATAATCAATCAATAAAAATAAAAGAAAAATCAAATTTAACGAGAGGAACTTACTTAACCACTGAATAAGAGGGATTGTCTTGCAATGGATTGGGATATGTCTGCGTGAAATGACAAAACCAAAATACCCAGTAAGTAAACCAGGAATTAGATTGAGACAGAAGGGGCAAAAACATCTCTTGTATGGTATGAATTGCAACCAAACACACCCTTAAAAATGGTCAACTTTATCGTCTGCGCAGTAGAATTCCAAAAAACAAAAAAACAAAAAAACAAAACTATCATAAATTAATAGGAATTGCATGAAAAATATAAAAATATAACTCTGTTTGGTTACCAAGAAATTGCATGAAAAGAAAATCATCAGTCAAGAAAAGGAAACAGAGATGTGAGGAAACAAAGAAAAATGAAGAAATCATAATGATCAACTCGATTTTTTGCCCCGCTTTCGTTTCTCTTAATAGTTCATTCTCTTTTCCTTGAGATTGGTTCAATGATGGGAGAAAGAGAATTACAGGGAGGTCGGGGATATAATCAGTCAAGTGAGGAACATCCTCGAGCTCATAACCAGCTTCCCCGGTGACGATTTTCGGCTCGGAGTTAGTCGTAACCACCATGCTGCTGGCACCACCGTTAATTCTGGGAGTCGTGGAGTACTTGAACCTCGAGGAGAAGCTTGTGTAGTGTCCTTGGTTAGTGATCGGAGGATGGAAGTTGGACGGATCAAAGCACCGGAAAGGGGTAGTGGAGAATGAGGAGTCCATGGGAAGATGATGGGTGGGAAAACGAGAAATGGCGGTGGAAGTATTTGCACGTAGCCGTTGATCGTAGAGGAGGGGACAGTCAGAAGGAGTGTGTATTAACCAAAAAAACAATATTAAATCACCGAATCTAATTATAAAAAAATTGATTCTATAATTAGGGAAAGGAAAAATTAAGAAGTCTCTAGAAAAGTTTAATAATAATTACATAAAAATTTGGTAAAATTAAAATTTATATTATATTTTTATATATTTAATTATTATAATTAAATATATTGATATTTTTAATAAAAAATAATTTTTATATAATTTTACTGTTTTACCTTTTTCTATAATTTGATATGTTATTAAAATAATTAGTTTTTTTAATTCATATAAAACTCGTAATATTAAATGCATCCACTTATCAATGATATATGAAAATTGTATAAAAAAATTATCCTACAACATCACATTTTTTAATATTAAAAAAATCCTAATTTTTCCCTTCCTCTTTTGTAATTAAATCACACTATTAGTTCGTGGTTTTGGTAATCCGGTGTGTTCGTGTGGGAGCTGCTAGAAGTTCGAGAGAGGCATGGAAATGTTTGGGTCGGGAAAACCATGGGAGCTGGAAATTTATGGCATATTCTCAAGAAGAACTAGTGGAGGGGTCATTCATGTGTTACAAAATTTTAATAACATTGTTTAGACTAACTGTTTAAATATACATAGATAAAAATACGTAATTAATATCATTGTTGGTTAGGTTTTTTATTTTACAATAAAAATTATATTAAATTATAAAATAAAAATTATTACATAAAAAATTCCTCTAATAATGTGTAATTTAAATTATACAAAAAAAAAAATATTTGTTTATTCTCATAATATTATTGGCCACGAAGTTAAAACTTATAAAATAACTTTTAATTATTTTTATAATAATAAAAAATATGTCAAATCTTTATTTATTAAACAAACTCATAAATTTTATCGTAACTAAGTAGTTTGGTTTCAATCTAATATTTCGACTATAAACATGTTTTTGGGGTAAGAGCTATTAATAAATGTTTATTACAAGTTTACAACTACAAGTAAGTATCACACAACAAGAAATTTCAAGGAATCAATTAATGATATCCTCTTTCACTAGGACAAGTAATAATATTTGGCATATACCATAAGCTAATGGATATTACAAATGTGAATCCCGAAAAGTTAAATGGAATATTCCCCCACTTCCTCTAATTGAAAATTTGAAAGTCATTGTCTTTAAATGTGGACCATAAATAATCTGAATGGTTAATTATAACGTCCCTCTTTTAGACATTTTATGTGTTGGTTAGTCTACCGCTTTAAAAATTACCCATATAATAGTCAATTCATTAATCCAAACATGACCTAACTATCGATAAGAGGCCATCTAGTGCTACGCCAGAAAACATCATGGTGCACATACAAAGGATTCACGAGGTGACAAGAGTTCTACTAATAAGTTCAACATGCAACATAAAGTCATAAATGGATGAGGTCACAAAAATAAGTTTCATTATGCAAAATAAAGTCAAAACTAAAGAGTACAAGAAAAATTGTCATGAATCATTTTGAATTTTTTATATGGTTCATTTACTATATGAAAATTAAGATTTTTTTTTTAAATTCATTTAATGCAAGTTATATAATAAAACACTAATTGGTATACATTTCAGTTTAATATATTATACAAGATGCTTATTAAAAAATTATTATTTTTAATCTAAAATTAAAAACAGACAAATTTAAAAATAAAGCTATGCACATAAGATATAAAAATCAATTGAATCGAATTATACTTATATTATATTTTAATATTTAAATTGAATATGGAAAAACTAAATTACACTTTTTAAAAGGGTGTCTCCCATGTACCGCTTTTAGGGTTAAGAGTAGTGGCGATGAATTTTCCTCCCTAGGGTTTCTCTCCAGCATAGGAGTTCCTTCATCTCTCCTTTTTTCTTACCTCTCCCTTCCTCCTCTTGATCTCTTCCTTCCTCTCGTCATTGTCTTATTTTGGAAACTCCAACCCAAGGGACCACAAGGCAGCGGCTTTTTGGGTTTTTTAGGGTTTACATCTATTGATTTTCAAAGGTTGTGATTATAATTAATCTTGCCGATGAAGTAGGTTTCTCCTATTTAACGACCAAGAATCTCACTTTGGTGCATCTCCTTAGATGAGATCTTGGTGGGGGTCGAATTCGATGAATCTGGTCCACACTAGTTCCCAATCAGCTAGCTAATTGCCGAAGAAAAGGGATATTGTTGGTAAGGTCAGCTATGGTCTATGTGGGAAGCCTGATTTTCAAGCCGGCAAAGGGGCTCTAGTTCCCTTAATGAGTTTTGACAGCATGAGTTTGAAGAGGATCATCAAAGATGGGAACATGATAGGGAGTATATGGAGGCGACTGGAAGGCCTTGTGCTTGTCAGGAAAAGGCCCATACCCCTCTTGGTTGATCTTCTTTATCTTCTTTAAGAACAAGCAGCAACTTGTGGGTTGGGGACTGTTTGTTGCCGGAATCCCTTACTCTCCCCAAAAGCTGATTAAATAGGTGAGGATATCCAATAGTTCTTAATGCTCATAGTGACTCCCCTTTCTACGTTAGTAGCCCTATTTAGCCCATACAACGATTGTAAATTTAATCCGTAGTTACAAATGACTCTCTTTACTTAATTGTTTATATCTGTCATAAGCATAATTAAAGTCTGTTATTAGTGTTGTAGGTTATGCTTCTGATTTTGTCCTTAGGTTATTTTGATTTTAGCTATATGTTATGATATGCAGATTCTGTTGTAATTTCTTATTACTTAATATATTTTTCTATTGCTCATAAAAAAAAAATATTTAAACTAAATATGTGTCAAAAATGTATTAAATTAAGTATGTACTCATAATTTTTCTATAAAATACAATAAAAATTCTCAATCTCTTTTTATCTATCTTAAAGTTTAAAATTTAGACCTCTTACTCAAGGTATCAAGTTTAATTCTTTCAGATACCTCTTTGGGGCATGGAACTAATTAAACTTGCGAGTTGGTTTGAATGATTAACTGGTTAACTAGATACATAAATATATAAAGGGATGCTTGTGAGTTGTGATTGATGATCTAACGCTTGACTCATGTTTTTTTTTTTTTTTTTGGTACGTTGACTTGTGGTTAATTATGCTATTTTAACCAAATCAAATCACAACAAAAATTTCAATTGGAAAGTTAGCACAAT